GGTATTGATAAATGTCTATATTTGGAAGTATTACGAAATAAACACGTGATAGACAGCAAAGAATTACGTATTCTATCGACAAATAATACTTTTACAAAAATAATTTATACCTGCCTGTCGCTGCGACGCATTATACGATTCATGATCCACTGTTCTTGCTTTTTCGAGTACTTCTTCGTCACGAGTTTTAGATCAGCAATACCCTTTTCCAATAGTTCCTCGCCCTATTGATAGAAATACGTTTATAGAAATGTGCATTTTGCCACTGCAGAAAATTAAAAATAAAATTCCAACTGAGAATGCTCACATGAAGGATTCTAAATGTGTTGCTAAAAACTTAAATGAAACAGAAATGTTACAAAAACAGCCCCGGTGAACCTTAATCTTAAAATGACCAAAACCGTGTACGCGAAACTCTAATAATTAGTTTATACGAGCCGCGAGATAAAGAAGTGTTTAGCGACGCTAAATTTGCTTCTGGTTTCCCGAAAACTACATTCTAGAGTCTGCAACCGGTAGGTTACCCCGAAAAATTTCTCAAAGAAATGCCGGTAAAAGAAAGAAATTCCAGCGAAGTATCTGAAAAAATCCCTTTTCCCTAAGAATAAAAAAAGAAAGATAGTGGAATGTCGCAAAAAAAAAAAAGAAGTCCTCTCTCCCTGCTCTCTTCAGATATAAAACGTATCGTTCGTGCAACAACGACGGTGCAGCTGCAGCGACGAACGTGACGACGTTGCAGTTCGCCGCTTCTGCTCACCTTTTTCTCTCGCCTCTCCTCCTCGGGCAGCACGAGGTAAGCGTGAAACTCCTTGAAGCCGATGCTCTGAAAGATGCCCGTCGTGTAATCGGCTGACCTGGAATGTAAACATTCGCCGAATCGTGTCTGTGCGCAGCCTCTCTCCGCCTCTTTCAATCCACTCTCGCGCAGAGATCACCGATTCCTTGCCGTTCCCGAGCCACCACCGTGTCCCACCTGCCCGTTTTTTGCGGCTAATTAACTCTGCCGGCCACTCAGCTTACCGATCCACCGATACCGATCTCCTCGCTAAATTGCAGCCTTATCGGCGCGCACGCGCGACTATGCTTTTTGCCCGGACCTCTTTCGAACTTTCAATTCTTCTGGAGACGACCAATCGTGAATTTGCGAGCATTTGCCGAAACTGCTGTCTCGATTTCTGTCGAGAGAGATGAACGAGAGCTGTTTCTGCCGATTTCTGGCAGAACGCTCACTTCGGAAGCATTGAAATAGGAGAAATTCAATTTTGTTTAGCTTCGTTGCATCGTGTTACGGTGGAAATGACACCAAATATGACTATTTTTGAAGAATTTTGGAAGGTTAAGGGAGTAGACTGCCGAATGAAAAGTTTCACTTTTTCCAATCTTTCTGCCAAAAAATCGAGAAATTAACTTTACACGTTGCAAGTAATACAGTTTCATTTATAAAGCAATGAGAGTTTCTTATTTCAGACGTTCCGATCCTTGCCAGAGATAGCGGTCAGTAATCGATATTGTAGCAGAAGAGGTTTCGCAATAACTCCTCCATTTTGTAACATTTTTGCTTTTAAAAAATTGGAAAAGAAAGCTGAAAGTTACATTTACATCCTCCAAAAAAAAAAAACTGAAACTTCTCTTTTATCAGTTACCTGTGAAAAATATTCCCAAACTGTACTCTATTTTTAAATGCCTCACAGTGGTGAAAAGCTGTTCGTTCGCAGCTTTAACATGTAACTCTTAGCGCTACGAAAACTAACAAGAAAGCCAAGGCATTTCGAGCGTGGAAAATGAATATTAGATCAAATTTAAAGGTACGGACAAGGAACCGAACAGTGCGGACTACAATTTGGCCAATTACGTGATCAAAGGATGAGCGACTCGGGGCACTTGTAAAGTTAAACAACGCCGACAAAAAACGAAGATCATAAAGCTGAGAAATGTGGCAATTTTTGGCAGTTCGTAACAACGTTAAAACGTGTTACAAAAATTATACCCTTAGCTGAGTTACACCGTTGTTGTTTCCGTTTACTCGCGAAATAATACTGTGGTATTATTAGCGGTGGTGTTGCCTCGGGTTGTACCATTCTCAAGGCAGAACCAAAGTTGTATTAATGATCGAGCGTAAGTCGAAAATCTACATACAGCGTGCTCGCGATATTCTCGTAAGTGATAAATTTGTGAGAAAAATAGAATTGATTATTTTCCACCCAACAGACAATGCTGTAAAAGGCAAGATGACTTGAACGAGATTACTCGAACTTGTCCCGCAATTGAGGCGTTTGATCGCTAAAATGCCATTTCAAGAAAACTACCACTATTATCCTAAATTTACGATTGCGAACACGATGAAAATGGTCGTTATCGCACCGAAAAGCAGCGAAACCCGAAAGATAAATATGTCGAAGGACGGTTCCATCGTCTTTAAGCGACGTGTCGCGAAAAAGCACGTCCCCGGTTCAGCTTCTCAAGTGGCGATCGCGTCTCTCCGCGCGCGCGAGACTGCATTTTGCAGGCTAGCCGTCTTATCACGGTCGGATAGTGATAGCGAGGGAGACGAGGTCGAGCTTACGTGGCGGGAAAAGTTGAAGCAGTGGCCACCAGCTCACTTGCTCGTACACGTGTCAATGTCAAATATGTACCTGTGAATAGAAATCAGATCCTAACGGTGGTGTGGGTGTCACGTGCACGCGCGTGTATTTCGTGAACGGACCCACTCGAGACGATTTCGTTTCCAACAGTTTATTGCCGGTTAAGTGTGCCACACTTTGCCTTCCACGGCACATTTCTGAATGATCCTTTATTTATCTGTAGCTGGATATTTGAAACTGACGCGATTTATCTCGTTTCTTTCTTCTAATAAAGCGTCGTTTCTTCTCTGCTACGTTTCCAAGATTATTCAACCTTGTTGGATGATAAATTTTGTACAACGGGACACGTACAATAAAGACCCGATATTTTCGTCACGGGGACATGAGAGACGCTTTATTTTCCCGTAATCAACATTTAATACATAGCCTGCGAAACCTGTATTTTTAGATGGCCAACATAAACCGCGTTACTATCATGTTTTATTACCGTGGCACACAATGTGTGCGGCAAAAATATAACATCTCGCTACCTTCTTTAACACTAAAAATACGGAAACGTGTCTAGGGAAGATTAATGATTCCATTAGGAACATCAAGCGAAAAAGTTAATTCTTCTCTAACAGTCATTTTTCTTCGGTATATGTATTCAACGCCACGGTTATATTTCGCTTCTACGCAGAAATAGACGGCTTGTGAAAAATTGAATTCAATTTTTTTTTTTTTTTTTTTTGCATCTTTAAGGGATTACTCGTGTTTGGGCGGCCGATTTTTCAGTCGTGTTTCACGATTCTTTTCCTGGATGACAAGAAAAGTAACCCAATTTTAGTTTTCTAAATGACAAGAAATGTCGCTCCAATTGAAATTTTCCAAATGACAGGAAAAGTTACACAAATTCTAAGTTTCTAGGCGACAAGAAAAGTTACACAAATGAAGGTTTTCTAGATGGCAAGAAAAGTTACTGAAATTCTACTTTTCCAGATGACGAGGAAATTTATTCTAATCCTAGTTCTTTAGATGACAAGAAAAGTTACTCAAATTCTAGCTTTCCAGATGACGAGGAAATTTACTATACCGATGCAAAATTACCCTAATTTCGCAAATACTAGCGAGCAGAGAATAAGCGAGAGCTAAGAAAATATCCTAAACCAAATCTGTCTCATGACTGTGAAGCTGAACTTTATTTCTTTCCTCCAATCGCAACTTTCGAAAATCGTATTCATTCACATCTTTCACACAATGTCGTACGTAATTTACCACTTACAGTTAGCAGAACTTCTACACCAGTGATTAGAGCAATCTGATGACTCAGCAAACTCATGTCCACGCGACTCGAGATAATTAATAGAAACAAATAAAATCGAGCTACAAATAAACTCATTTACTAAATTCTAAATTGAATTCTTCCTACCTTTTACAAAACACCTCAACATTAGCACGAAAGTATCGGTTAAAATTCGCGTAAAATTTGTCACAAAAACAGCGCCAAATTAACGTACGTTGCAAATGTAAAGAAATCCGATTAATTATTATTCCATCAAAAAAAAAAAAAGAAGCATAGGTCACGTTAATAAAAAAGGACCATAAATCCGTCCGCATTGATGCAAATTCACTAATCTTTCATCGGTTCGATACTTAATACATTAAGGTAATAAAACATTTACAGTCTTATTAACGTTTTACAAGTCTGTTATAAACACTTCGGCTCAACTCTTTCGCTCTATCGCAGAGAAAGAGGAGACCGCCTTAATTTTAATTTTTCAACGAAGTCAACACACACGTGTCAGGATTCAGAATTTCACGCTACAATACGACTTACCGCGCGATCTCGTGATTATCATCGAAGAGAATCGTTATTAACGAACGATACTCGAAACGTCGATTGATCTTCGATAAAATCGAAATTAATCTGAAATGCGCCAACATTCCTACAACAATAACGATAATTCCTGCGCGAATGGCAGGTGCCTAGTGATAATAACAACGGCCACAGTGGTCGTAGGTAGCAACGGTAATTAAGATAACGCCGGTGACAGTAATCATTATCACGAATACATAACTGCTTTAAACTATTTTTACTACCTGTTGCCAGGCAGTAAATAGGCAGCCGTGAATATCATTTACTCCTTCTTCCTTTTTTTTAACACACACCGCAGGTTATCATATTCGTGAGAGATAAATCGGTTGTATACTCGAAACCTTACGGCTTCCCATGAAACGTGCACCCGTTATCTTCCATTCATGGGCAACTAGCGGATAGCTGGAAGTTTCGAAGACAAGCGACACGTTGAGAAACATTTCTGACATAATATACGTGTATTTAAATGAATTCGGTGGATTTAGTTAGACACTGCTTTCCTCGTCTCGCGATACCGAGTTGTAACGATGGCGTAAATTGTGATATTTAATGCAACAAATACGTTAATTTGTATTAGTATTTTGTGGGATTCGAAGCTTATTGGAAAGATTAATTTCCCGAATTGAAAATTGTTAACTTTTAATTATGCACAAGCATTTTGTAAAATTTTCTGTATATGATAAGATAATAATTCTGACATGTGGAGCGGCTGAACTTCTAACTCCCCTTTTAGCAACTTTTCAATTTTAGCATCCAAGAGTACCGGAGATCTGTAACATTTTATAAATGAAATATCGCTGATAAATTTTGTTCGATAAAATTTGAGCTTTCCTCTTGGATCCTTAATTTGCTCGACGAAAGTCACACAAGTTTCGTAAATACTTTCTTACACAATGTGATAGCGAAAGTTGATAAGTTGACGGTAATTAATACATGCCGTGCTCATGACAAGATGAACTTCTTTCCAAAACGAGTCTCTCACGGTTGAATGAAAATTGCTCGTCGATTCATAGCGACACATTTGCCCGATAAATTTCTCGCGTTGTCAGTAATGAAATTTTACACGCGTGGTTTCGCACGATTGCGTCGTACACGTCATTTTGCTACTCTGTTGCTCTTTACGTAACACTATAACGTCGAGCTTGTATCTTCGAGCGCACATTGTAGTTACAACAATTCGCGCAACTGTTGCACAGTCTAAAAACAAAAGACTTCCTCGAACTGAACTTTAAACGGGAGATTTAAAGGAAAAAAGAATTGAACATTTAAAGATGCAAAAGTTGGAAATTTAAAGATGCAAAAATTAAATATTTAAAGATGCAAAAATTACAGATTTAAAGATGCAAAAATTGACGAATTTCTAATAATTTTTTCGAGATTTTATAAGAATGGCGAATAAATAATGTTCATGTGACAA